TCCGTCTATTGAAGGCCCTGTCATAACGAAAGACGACAAACATTTTTGCGCGTCGTCTATTTACGACACGCATTTAAGACGCCCAATTACGACACGCATTTACGACGCACATTTACGACACGCATTGCGTGTCAAGGAAGGCTCTGTCATAAAGAAATATGACACGCATTTGCGTGTCATAACCTTACGACACACATTTACGACTCGCATTGCGTATCATTAAAGCCCCTGTCAAGAAAGGCCATGTCATAAACGAAGATGACACACATTTTTGCATATCGTAATTTTAAATGTTTAAAAAAAGTATTATTTATAGATTTATTGTCTCATAATAGAAAATACAATATCATATACAAAAAATACAATCCATTGCATAAAATTTAATGTCATACAAATAATCGTTCCATGGAAAGATAAAACAAATCAATAGAAGTTGTAACAAAAATTTACAAACTAATAAGATACAAGAAATATGAAAAACTTGAACTGAGATTAATAGTTCTAACAAAAGCTTCACGTGAGATGCATACAGTTGGACCAGTAAACAAGGATGTTCCCGAATCGACAATAGCAGCACAAGAACACGTACACGATATCTTCTGTTAGAATCAACTTAGACTTTTTAGTGTCCAAAAATATAATTGACAGGTGGCACACATATGGGAACATAAAACTTTAAAATCTTAATAAATAGTGAATGTTCCATATGCCACCATTATTGAAGAACTTAAGATATGAAACATGTAATTGAGTAGAAAAGAAGGTAAAAAATGTTAGAAAAAAATATATTTTGTACTCTTACTTTTTAGTTTCTTTTGTGAGGTCTTCATTAGTTGAAGCAACCAATTCTTGTTGTCTCAAAACTGGATTTTCTGATTCAAGGTTGGATAAGTTTTCATCTAACCTGATAATGTGCATATAAAATACAAAGTCAATAAATAGCAATGTACTTTTATATAAATAAATAAACTTAAGCTTTATATAGGTGAGTTTCTTTTTCACTAAATGTAATACTAAAAAACTTAAAGGAAAGAAAGTCAAATTTTCTCAAATATTTTTTTATTTGGACAACACAAAAAAGAAAAAGGGCTTATTGTGGTTTAGCTACCTTTCAGGTACCTGTATCAGAAACAAACTCCATAAAATGAAACACATTCTTTTTTTAGAACAAAACTATATTAAAATAAAAACCATATAGATCAAACAGACTAGGACTAAACAACCTTCAAAACAGCTCCAGGGGTCAAAATGTCATAAAATGGAAAGAGACAGTAGGGTGCCATGTATTGTGACATCCCCCAAATTTCACGGCCAGAAAAGAACGATTTGTTTATGCTTTGTTTTAAAATCAGAGTAATCTTTTAAAGAAAACTGTTGCGGAATTTGTTCCCCAGAAAACATGATAAATACTTTATCCAAGCATCTCCGAAGAGATGTATTTTATTCGTTTTAAAAACATTTGGGATGTCCTGGTCAATATAGACACAAAAGCATAAACCGAACTTACATTCATCTACACTAATGATATACATCTCTTTAATCTCTCAGTGTAATGTGTCTTTGTATCGATACCGGTGATACAAAAATATTGAGTGGGTCAGGTTTGGAAAACCTGGTGAGTACATAGGGATTTCAATCCCACAATGTTATAACATATATATAATTTAGAATTCACACAATATAAAATTTTCTATATATATATATATATATATATATATATATATATATATATATATATATATATATATATATATATATATAAACCAACTCTTACCCCACCCCGTCAATCCTCTCAACGAGACTATCCATACCCTTGGACCTTAAATTTTAACTCTTACTCCCGGATCTAATCCATATTCTCGAGTCCATGATTGTGCCCATTCCATACTCCCGGATAAGGGACAATTGGTCTATGTCTAAATCCATACTCCCGGACAAATGACAGATTCTATGTCCTGTCCATACTCCCGGACTAAGGACAACTGACTATGTCTTAATGCATACTCCCGGATTAATGACAACTGACTAAGTCTTAATCCATACTCCCGGATTAATGACAATTAATTAAGTCCAATCCATACTCTCGGACTAGGGACGAATAACTATGTCTAATCCATGCTTCCGGATCAATGACATATTTTAAAGTTCTATTCTCCGTATATATCTCACTCGTACTCATAAAGAGATGCTACCTCATAACCATTATAACAAACCTTAGGTTTACACTTTAACCTAAGTTATCATAGACAATCGGGTATGTTCTTTAACACTTAATTCAGACATCATCAAATAACTCACACAAAACCTATATTTAATACATTCAAACAATACTTGTATTAAAATCATGTTCATGAAAGGGACTATACACTCACTTGATAAGACGGTGCTCGGACAGCACTACGGCTCTTAAAGTGATATTCTTCGATGAAACCAGGACGTTTTCTCCAAAAACCGGGCTTCTCGCGAGAAGAGCTTCGGCTCGAAAACTCTTTTTCTCGAGATCTTCGGAGCTTCGGGACTCGCTTCGGGTCTCGGGATGATATTGGGACTTCGGGGGGCTAAAAGTAGGCTTAATGATGAGAAAAGTAGGAGAGAGGTTGAGAAATTAGCAACCAAAACTGGCTGCCTTCGATCTCTATTTATAGGGCGATTTTCTGGATTCACGTCGTGAATCTCAAATATTCACGTCGTGATTTCAGTCGTCATCAGGTGCGTCATCGCAAATTGGGTCTGTCATGCTCCAGAAGACGTTATTACTGAGTTCACTTCGTGAACACTGTGTTCACGTCGTGAACTCTAACACAGTGTCGGGGTTCGTGCCCCAAACTTCAGAAATTCATATTTTTCGCATACGAGCTCCGTTTTCGACGTTCTTTATATGCACGTGTAGGTGAGATTATGCTCTACAACTCTCGTTTAGACTCCGTCGGCTAATTTTGATATTAACTTTTATTATATTATTTTTAGTAGGCCGGGACAGGAAAACTCCGTTAGGAATTCACAACTCCTTCATCTGAAGTCCGTTTTCGTCTGTCTTTTTACCGTTGGACTACTATCGACGAGATCTTCGATTCTCGTTTAGATTGTTTCGGCTAGAAACCACTCGATCTCATATTCGAACTTTGGGCAGCATACCGCTAAGTTGAAACTTCGAAAAATCATAACTTCCTCATACGAAGTCAGATTTAGACGTTCTTTTTATGCACGCTCTCGGTTTAACATATTCTACGACTTTCGTTTAGATCACTAAGTCAAAATATCGCTCTATCGTAAATTTACTATTTACGTCCTACAGCGTCGTGCCGAATCTGTCGCGAAACTTCGACAGGTCATAACTTCTTCGTTATAACTCGGATTTCAGCGTTCTTTATATGTATGGAAACCTTGTGACATATACGAAAACTTGGTTAAGATTATTTATTCTAAACAATCTTCTATCAAAAAGTCATTTTTGACGCTTATCGTCTCTAAATTGACTAGCCCGGATCTACGGGCGTTACATGTATGAACTGGGAAATAAACACATCATTGAGAGCACCAACAACAGCTATCGCAACAAAGCTACATCAACTACAATTGGAGATGGTGAAGTCGAAAGCCCTGATTTGATGTTTGAATAATAGGGTGCTACATTTGAAAGGTAACATGAATTAGATCAAATAGATAAGAATTTTCCATATGGATTTGATATACATCCTCCAAACGGATACTCTAGCACACGGAAAAGAAAATGAAACTTTACCTCTATTGGTATGTGTTTGTATTTATATATATATATATATATATATATATATATATATATATATATATATATATATATATATATATATATATATATATATATAACAAAGTTAGCAAGGCTAACCAATTTCTAAATTCTTGACTGCTGCCAAGAAATCCTTCCCTCACAAAATCAACCATCTGTAATGAATACAAACCATGATGATAAGATCTTTGAATCTCTTTGTGAACATTGATCAAATATTTATTTTGTAATAGTATGCTATACTAAACAAATCAACGGAAGTAGAAGTACTTACACAATAAAACTCCATGAGGTTATTTCGAAGAGGTGACCATGTTAATGCTATTCGCCTCTGACATGTCACTTGCTTTCAGGCCTGAGTTGTATCAGCTCTTGTGTTCTTAATCATGTGGGCCTCATCACACACAAGTATCAACCTTGTGGAAGGTCATATGAAAAATAGACGATTTCACCAGGAGCAAAACCAGCAGAGTAGAAATCCTGAGACATGATGTTTATTTGCTTCTTGGGAGGTATAGTATCCGTAAGAAAAAAATGCCAAGAATTCACTTAAATATATTTGTTCATTTCACTATATAACATTTTATATGCTTTATTAAGTTATATTGTATGCTCACATATATAGAAAGGGAGGTCTGGTCGAGCTACAACTGTCACAAGAAGATCAACTAAGCTTTGCATTGTCTCGGTTGGATGGAATGTGGCTTCTAATGTGTGGTTATCTGGGAACCCTATATGAATCCCTGCCTGTAGTATTATATAAATAAATGAATTAATGAAAATAATATAGTTAGTTGGTTATTTACATCATACTTAAAATGATAATCTAAAATTAAAATTTTACAAAAAAAATAAAAGAAGTTGCTTCCCAATTTAAGTTAACATCTTCCTTGGTAATTCTTGATCTACTAGTTGCTGCTTGTGCGTCTCGAATTTTCTTTGTTTTCAAATATTTATCTGCTCACAATTGCACATAATTTGTGATGAAAAGAGCAAATATTATAGCAACAATAACTAATAGAACAGATATATGCATATAACTACACCCACCTTCTTTTTTAGTTGCCAAGATGTGATAATAATCTACAATGGTGAATTCCAGGTCATATGTTTCCTCTGTCCAAATGATAAAGAATATGTTCATGTGAAGTCATAAAGCTAACTGTGAAATCAAATGATGACTTATTACTTCTTAGTTACAGGGGAAGTGAACTTCCTATCACTGTCAGAGACATCATTTGATAGGGTTGGATTCCTTGAGGGTCCTACTAGTAGTTCTCCTGTGTAAATTAATGGTGAATTATTCAATACACAAAAATAGTAAAAGTTAAATGGAATGGAATATTAAATATATATGATGGTTTAATTACCTGAAGTTAACCGTTTCATAGGGTTGGATTCCTATATGCTTGCACATAATCACTAAACGAGGCCTAATCAACAACATATCAGGGTTAAAAAAGAAAACATTGATATATTATAAATTTATAATCATATACAAGAAAAGTTGAAAATCAACCTGCTGATATTATCAAGTGTAAGTTCATCATTGAATAACTTTGCAAATCCCAATACTTCCTCTTTGGAAACAACAACACCTGTTCTGGCCTGTATCATCACATTGAAAATTTGTAAACAAACAAGCATACTTTGGAAGTGGTGATTACTACACTCTTACGTTGCTAAGAAATTTATCAAGATCCTCTGCTGTTTTCTTAACTTCTCCACTCCTGCTGTTTTGGATCTCTTTTGCCTTCTCTTTAAATATATCTTGAAGAAACTTTGCATATTCTATTCTTGCATTTAGCTTTTTTTCCAATGCTTCCTACAATAAAATCAAACACCACACTTGTCCACACTACTCAACAAAAATCCTCCATAAATAGAAAAACTTTGAAGAGTTTTAGAAGACTAGGTCTAGGTAGTTGATTCAATTAAGATATCTGTTCTTTCATCTTGTCCTGAAAAGTAAATAGTAGCATATTGGGGAATACTTTCAAGAATAATGGAAGCAAAAATTCCATGAAAGGTACGATGATAAAAACAGCAACAGGAACAAGTCTAAAGATATCTACAGTGGTTCGTGTGAGTTGTTGTCTCTCTTTCCTGGAGAGACCCTTTTCATTAGCAAGCTTTAGAAGCATTCTGGAATTGATCCTCACATCAGCACCAAGGAGCTTAATCCCCAACCAATAATGCTTCATGCTTGATACATATTCATTTTTACAGTGACTCGTTTTCTTACCCAATCTTCCCTTCCCAATACAAAGTTAAAGAACAAATGAGACTTACACAAACACAAACACTTGTTGGAATTTTAACAGAAAAAGTTACCTGCTCATGGAAGCCACAACTCTTAGAGCTAGACTAATACCCGATAACACCCCACAAGTCCTGTAGAAAATGGATTTTGCTTCTTTCACCTTTTTGGTTTTTTCTTTAGCCTTGGCACTGCTTAAGCCCCTCAACAGCTTGATCGCATTCTTCTGGAAATGGCAACGAGCATGGAGGACTCGTTACTTGAGGAACTGAAGATAAAGAGAAGTAGATGGAGGGTCTATGAACTGAAACCCTCGTTCCAACAATAGTCATGGTTCCAACAACTATACCCCTTTAATTTCAATTTCATGGTCTGGTGACCAAAAAACCTTCGATTTCACTAAGAACTGGAACCCTAGTTCCAACAATAGTCGATTTTGTGGCCCTATATAGATTTTTAGGCACGAGACTCCTTGATCACTGCCGACTGGTGTGGGAGAAATGAGAAGTGACCTTGGTTCTCCTATTGAGGGTTTTTGGATATTTGATTGAGCGAATTAGAGTGGGGGCGGAGAATAGGTGGAGACAGCGGTCGGAGATTAGAGATTTGGTCCGATTGAGGGTTTTTTTTGTATTTGATTGTGAGAGAGAGAAGATGGAAAGAAAGTAGAGGAGAACATGGCGGCTTTTCAAACTTTAGGGAATTTCATTTCCCCCATAAGCTTCTAAAGAAGAGAACGCGTGTTTATGAAAAAAAATATAAAACGACATACGTACACGACACACATTTTATCATATGCGCCCTCCGAGTTTTTTTTTGGACACTAATTTTAGGGCACGCATAAATGCGTGTCCTCTATCCTTCAAATTTTGTGAGAGCTAACATATTTTTTAGGTCACACACTTTAGCGTATCATAAAACCATGCGTGTCATGGTTCGCACGTCATTAAAGGCCAGTTTTCTTGTAGTGACTATTTGCTCAAATTCTTAACATTCCCAATTCTGAACGTTTCTACAAGGTAACCAATGAGCAGGTGATTCACATGTTTAATGAGATGGGTTATCAACCTACTCTCACCAAGATTAAAGAGTTCAAGAAGTCAGGATTTCCTTGTATATGAAATTTCCTGTTTGGAATTTATCTTCGATGCTTGACAGGTCGAAGCGTGGGTTTAGATAAAGCAAGATTGGAGGTGTATGCTATGGTAACTGGCATTTATTATGATTTTCAAGTGGATTATGGTACACAGATATGGGAGGAGTTTCTGAAAAGCATTGGAAATACGAATGCTATCGATGGGGTTTCTTTTGCTAGATACTGGAGTTTGATTCTTCAGTGTGTTTATGAAAAGGAAGGTATTAAAGTCCCTAATGATGAAGAAAAAGCTGAATTTTCTTTGTATCATTTTCCAAAAACTGTAGCAAATGATGTTAATATTTTTCCAACTCTTGCATGGATTTCTGATTCGACGTTGAAGAAGGTTGATCCTTCAAATACGGTGTTGGTGGCTTACTTGCAGCAGATCAATCCTTCAATTGAGACTGGCATTTTTCTACCAAAGTCAAGTGAAGGCCCTTCGAAGAAAAGCAGAGGATCAAAGAAGGATGCTCAGCCTACTCCTTCGAAAGTCAGTAAAGTTGAAAAATTGGCTAAGACTCCAAAGAAAGTTGTTGTAGGAGAACAACCTTCGAAGAAAAGCTCAAAGCCTATAGTTGAAGAAAATGTCAATCCTTCGAAGGATGTGGTACCTTCGAAATCAGGCGTATTGAAGAGAATCAAGAAAATGGCTCACAAACCTCGCCATTATCTTGAAAGATCAGCAAGGTTTTCTCCATCTTTTGTTCGTAAGCCTCAATTGGGTCGAAAGGGTGTTGTAATTCGAGAAATACCCACATCCGTTTCTCCACAATCGAAGAAAAGGTGTGCTAAGGATATGGCTAAGAAAATCTCCAAGAAACAAAAGTGAAGGGTTTTGCGCATTCTAACACTCATAAGGTGTACATGCAACCCTAGAAACCTTGGATCTATGTTTTACTAAGATACACGCAAATTTGATTTTCCAAGGTTCTTAAACTAACTAGCATGGCATGGGGAACTTTGAAACATAAAATCTAGTAGAAGAACATACCTTTCTTGTTGCTTGGATTCCTTGAGAACCTTGTGAGCCTAGCACCTCAAGTGTGATGCCTCAAATGTTTCACACAACACCACAATTCTTGGAATAACTTTAAGAGAAGTACACTATCACTCAAAATCGGCTAGCCCTCTTGTTCTACATATAGTACCGATTTTGGTAGCCCATGGGGTCCTTTTATAGTTGTGTCACAAGTAAGGTTACACCATGTAAAACCTAATTGACATGGCTTTTCATATTCCATGATCCATGGGTTTATAACCTCCATGGAGCATCCATGGAGCACCTTATGGATTTAGCCCAATCCAATAAACCATGGATCATTAGCCCACTATAAAAGAATGGATGATTTACACAATCAACCCCATATATTTAATTAGTCTCCTTTTTGATCACCAAATTAATTCTAAATTAATTCTTGATCAAAACTAATTAAATAATATTATTAATATATTAGAACTTATAATATATTAATAAACCATAAGTATCTTTTCTCTCATTTACTCTATCCAAGTGTTGCAATGCCATGCAACCCAAATGGACCATGCCAACCGGGCCAAGTACATTCCAAAAATAGTTATGAACTTAGACACCTAATCCAACAAAAAGAAGCAAAGGAAGCTAATTATTCAAGATGATTCCATAGATGAGGAAATTGTTCCTGAATCTCGTCTTGGATATAATATTTTGGGTAATCCTTTACCAACGAGGAATTCTCCAATCAAGTCGAACTTCGAGGAGATTGAAAATTCTGGTGGCTCTGTGAAAGCATCTAATGTGGACACAACCACTAATCAAGGTGATCCTGTGAAGTAATCCACTCCTGAGCAGACAACAATCATACCACCCGAAGTTTCGCAAACCAAGTCAGTTACTGAGGAGGTTCGAACTTCAGGCATCCCTATGCACATATCTAATATGGACACAAATGTCAGCATGTGTGATGGAGTGTCGAATAGTGAAGCCCAACATAATCAAGATCAAGGTACTCAACATATTGTTCTTTCATCATCTTTCAAAACTTCTACTCTTTATTCTACCACTTCTCTACCGCCATTTCATTCCACTATCTCTACTGCAACTCATTCTCCTATATTTGATAACATCATGCAACAACCGATTACATCTTTGTTTCCATCTCAATCCACCGAAGAACCCATAACAGTTAATGATGATGAAACAGATGATGGAGGGTTCGTAGGTTCGTTTGCTGACATAGAATTTGATCCTGAAGAGGAGAATATTCCCGATCATATGCTAATGTCTAGGAAACAGTTCAAGATTTTGAACAGAAAGCTTAATTCCTTACTCCAATTTCAAGCTGATGCAGGGGGTAAACATTCGGTGTCTGGTATCGAAGTTGACGTCATGCTCAAAGCTCAAGAGCTTCGTCTTCAAAGTAAACTTGATCAGGTCGACAAGAACAACGAGTTAAGGGTCAAGGCTCAATCTGTGACCTTTAATGGCGAATTGAAAGAGTTGAAAGCTGTTGTGAAGGAACGTCATGCTCTTTTCGTTCAAGATGTAAAGACCGTTCGAGAAGATGTCAATCGAAAAATAGAAGAGTTACGATCAGACATGGAAAAGGAGATAACAGATTTGTCACACAACTATTCTTCTATTCTTACGAAAGTAGATATTGTTGCTGGTGCAGTAACAAAAATTGCTGAGTGTTAAAATTCTATGCTTCCGAAGATATATGACAAGGCTAAGGTTGATTAAAAGAATTTTGGGAAGATTGATTCGCTTTTGGTTGACTTTAAAGAAATGGTTTCAAAGTCTGGTTCTTCATATTTGTTCACTCCTGAGTTTTTAACTCAGAAGTTTCGTTTGCTTGAATCGAAAATTCATTCTGAATTGGCTCCACTTTCGAAACTCCTAAACTTACTACCAACTTTTGCCCCACCTGTTGCCACAGGGGTGCAAGGGGGACAAAGGAAAAATGTTGGTGTGAGAAAAGGTGAAGGAGCATATGGCCAGTCAGGTGAAGATGCGAAAGTTGTGGGAAAAGTCTTTTCTACTCAAATTCCAACAACCATGCCAAAGAAGATTGATCTGATTATTTCAACAACACCAACAACAAGACCTTTGGTGAAAGGGATTGTAATTGGTGGTTCCAACGGTTCCAGCTCTTCTTCGAAACCTAAGCCTACTGAAACTGATAAAGGAAAAGGGAAGGGTGTTAGTATTGAACAGACGAAGGAAGAAAGAAAAGCAGCTATTGAAGCTGAAATAGAAAAACAACAACAAATTCAAAGTATTCTTAGACTTCGTCAAAATGATCCACCAACTTTGAACAAAGGTGATCCAAGGAAACTACATAGCTATGAGAACATTGAAGCTATGGTACTATATGGTGAAATGCATGACATTGAGAAGAAACCGAAGAAGAGTTATGCAACTGAGAATTTGGACATGAATCAGTTGGACTTTCCTATCAATAAGAAGATGTTTATTACTTCTCAATATCAGATTGTTGACAAGTTCGAAGATAAGGAAGAGTACAAGAGACTAAAGATTCAATTTCATGTTGTACTTGGCAAAGAAAAAGAACAGGTTTGGTCACTTGTCAAGATAGTTCGAGTTTTGAGTATTTCCAAAGATGTTCTATTTGAGGATGTACTTCAAAATTTTCGATATCATGTGGTGAGAGCAAACAATACCACCTTTAACTTTACTGTTACTAATTTCCCTCTTATGAATCTGAATGACTTAATCTATGTCGCGAAGATTCTTAAAGTCAATGATGAAACGAAACTTCAGGGAACAAGCAAAGAAGATTATCAACTGGGTCTTGCTCATATCAAGC